AAAAAGCCATTACTTAGAAGGGCTGCAAAGAAGGCAGCATCCTCGGAAGAGGGATGGCCAGGTGTCAGTGACAACTCTAACTGAACAGCCTCACCCAAATCACAGCCTAACATTCACCACGTCAAACCTAAAGATTAGTTCACTGCCACTGCCAGAAAAACAGTATTGTCACGCTCACAACTAAGGTGCCTGTTTAACTACTTTGAAAGATAACTTTACAAAATTTTCAGCCTTTACTTACCTTCCTGTTGTAACTGAGCCAAGAAAAGTGCAAGATATGTATCTGATATTAATTCTGGACCCGTCAAGAGAGAATTCAAGTTAAACCACTGAAAAAATAATTGTCAATATTTTAGTGTACATTACAGGTAATAAGGAAATAAGAATAGGTATAATCCATCTAAGCTTAGTAAGATTGTTTAAACTCTAGAAATATGTCAAGTTGAGCTCTTTTCTTTAACTGAATAATATGATCGTAAAAACTACAATAGAGGCCGGGTGTGGTGGCTCACGTCTGTAATCCTAGCACTTTGGGAGGTCGAGGCGGGTAGATCACAAGGTCAAGAGATCGAGACCATCCTGGCCAATATGGTAAAACTCCGTCTCTACTAAAAATTACAAAAAATTAGCTGGGCGTGGTGGCGAGCGCCTGTAGTCCCAGCTACTTGGGAGGCTGAGGCAGGAGAATTGTTTGAACCCAGAAGGCGGAGGCTGCAGTGAGCCGAGGTCGTGCCACTGCACTCCAGCATGGCGCCTGGTGACGGAGTGAGACTCTGTCTCAAAAAAAAAAAAAAAAAAGGTAGAAGTAGGGTTTTTGTTTTTGAATTATCTTTTATTGACTTAATTCAATATACTCTTTTTTGGCGTTTACTTTTTTTGAGATGGAGTCTGCTCTGTTGCCCAGGCTAGAGTGCAGGTGTGATCTCTGCTTACTGCAACCTATGCCTCCCGGGTTCGAGTGATTCTCCTGCCTCAGCCTCCTGAGTAGCTGTGATTACAGGCATGTGCCATCATGCCCTGTTAATTTCTGTATTTTAGAAGAGATGGGGTTTTACCATCTTGGTCAGGCTTGTCTAGAACTGCTGATATCATGATGCACCCATCTCTGCCTCCCAAAGTGCTGGGATTACAGGCATGCGCCACTGCGCCCGGCTGGCCTTTACTTTTTATTAAAAAAAAACAACCCAGCTTCATTGAGGTATATGTGACATTCAATAAACTGCAGATATTCAAAGTGCATAATTTGAAAAATTTTTTTTTTGAGATAGGATTTTCTTCTGTCACGAGTGCAGTGGTGTGATCACTCACTGCAGCCTCGACCTTCTGGGCTCCCACCTCAGCCTCTCTAGCAGCTGGGACTACAGGGAGGCATCACTACGCCTAGACAATTTTTTTTTTTCATTTTTTGTGTGGAGATGGGGTCTTGTGACATTGCCCAGGCTGGTCCTGAACTCCATTAGCTCAAGCGATCATCCTGCCTTGGCTTCCAAAAGTGCTGGCATCACAGACGTGACCCACCGCATCTGGCTTAGAAATGTTTTGACATTTGTATACTGTACTCCCATGAAACCATTACTACAACCAAGATAGTGAACACATCGATCACTGTCACGTTTCCTGTGCTTCTCTGTAACCCTCCCCTCTAACTCCTCCTTAGACTTCTCGTCCCTAAGCAACCACTGCTCGATCTGCTTTCCATCCCTACAGATGAATCTGCACTTTTCTAGACTTTTATATAGATGGTACCATACAGCATATAATATTTTGTTTCTGGGTTATTCTTTCAGCATAATTATTTTGAGATTCATCCATGTTGCTGCATGTATCAATAGTTTATTCTTTTTTACTGTACTAGCTGCTTTTCAATAAACCTCTTTCAAAAATTCAAAATTCTAATAAAAAGGATATTAAGTGATTTTGTTTCTTAAATAGCTTGCTGAAGACATATTTCATGTTTCTAAAAAAATATAGAAGTGATTTTATGTAGATGGTATTACCTGGCTTTTGGAATCATATGAATAATCTTGTTACACTAAAGTGAACATAATTGAATGCTTTTATTCATGCTTGACACTACTTCAGGCTTTGTGACAGCACTATGCTAAATACAAATCTGTAAATGTAATAATTAACTGACAGAACATAGTCATCACATAAAAACCCACTTAAAAGTAACCACATTTGTATTGTCTTTAATAGAGAATTTTTCAGGCCGGGTGCAGTGGCTCACACTTGTAACCCCAGCACTTTGGGAGGCCAAAGCAGGCAGATCACCTGAGATCAGGAGTTCAAGACCAGCCTGACCTACATGGAGAAACCTCATCTCTACTAAAAATACAAAAAAATTAGCCAGGCATTGTGGCGCATGCCTGTAATCCCCACCTACTCAAGAAGCTGAGGTGGGAGAATCACCTGAACCCAGGAGGTGGAGGTTGCAGTGAGCTAAGGTCATGCCACTGCACTCCAGCCTGGGTGACAAGAGCGAAACTCCCTCTCAAAAAAATAATTAAATAAAAATAAATATACAGCCGGGCGCAGTGGCTCACGCCTGTAATCCCAGCACTTTGGGAGGCCGAGGCGGGTGGATCACCAGGTCAAGAGATCGAGACCATCCTGGTCAACATGGTGAAACC